AGTAATCCCCCATAGTAATTCATCCCCCACATAGTAATTCATCCCCCACATAGTAATTCATCCCCCATATAGTAATTCATCCCCCATAGTAATTCATCCCCCATAGTAATTCATCCCTCATATAGTAATTCATACCCCATAGTAATTCATCCCCCATATAGTAATTACATCCCCCATATAGTAATTCATTCCCCATATAGTAATTCATCCCCCATAGTAATTCATCCCCCATATAGTAATTCATCATCCCCCATATAGTAATTCATCCCCCATATAGTAATTCATCCCCCATAGTAATTCATCCCCCATATAGTAATTCATCCCCCATATAGTAATTCATCCCCCATAGTAATTCATCCCCATCATAGTAATTCATCAACCATCCCCCATATAGTAATTCATCCCCCCATAGTAATTCATCCCCATATAGTAATTCATCCCCCATATAGTAATTCATCCCCCCTATAGTAATTCATCCCCCCTATAGTAATTCATCCCCCATATAGTAATAGTAATTCATCCCCCTATAGTAATTAATCCCCCATATAGTAATTCATCCCCCATATAGTAATTCATCCCCCATATAGTAATTCATCCCCCATATAGTAATTCATCCCCATATATCAGTAATTCATCCCCCATATAGTAAGTCCCCCCTGTGTCAATTCACTTACCTTTGCTCCGCGCGTTCCTCCCGCCGTGTTCCCGCGCCGTTCTGGTCTTCAGGGCGGACTGTGAGAGGAGAGGAGTTCGTCACGCTGCCCCGCCTACATCCTGGCTGCCCCACCTACATCCTGACAGCTGCAGAGTCCTGACTTTTGGGGCGGCCGCCCGAGAGGAGGGAGGGGGGCGGCCGCCCGAGAGGAGGGAGGGGAGGGGGCGGCCGCCCGAGAGGAGGGAGGGGAGCGGGCGGGCGGCCGCCCGAGAGGAGGGAGGGGAGCGGGCGCCCGGCACACAGAAGAGCCGCATTTAAGTTTGTAAAGAGCCGCATGTGGCTCGCGAGCCGCGGCTTGCCGACCACTGGTCTAGGGTACAGGTGTCAAATGGCCGGCCCTCCAGCTGTTGCCAAACTACAAGTCCCATGAGGCATTGCAAGATTGACAGTTACAAGCATGACTCCCAAAGGTAAAGGCATGATGGAACTTGTAGTTTTGCAACAGCTGGAGGGCCGCTAGTTTGACACCCCTGGTCTAGGGTTATGCTTTATTGAAGCTTTTATGAAGAACTTGAACTAACTTGCATAGGAGTAGGGTAACTGTGGGATATCCCAGTAATCTTTAGTAGCAATTTTGAGGACACTAAACTTCTCTCTTTAGAAACTGTAATCAAAGTCCTTGTACAGTTAATTGGTGGGCTGAGCTTTGTAATAGCAACTTGGAGATATAAAATATTCCTCTTAGAACAATCTGAGCAGAGTCCTTTCACTAAAAATTAAATAGACTGAGCTCTTCAGGACACCAGCCAATACCCCCTTTATATAGAGCTGGTTGCCTCTTGTCAATATCTTCCAGACACTTTCCCACAGGGACATCAGACAAGATCCTCAGATGACAGGCCCTCAGTCAGCTTCCAGCAATTTTCAGCACTCAGGCCCCTCAACTAGCCCAGCTAAGACTTCAATGAACCACAAGAATATGGCAGGATTGCCAAAAGGGGCAATCAGTCCCCCTTAGGCTGTGATCTCCTCCTCAGGAATAAGACACTTCTGTTTCTCATACTATTTATACACCTTCCCAGCACCAATCTCTGCTAATGCCCACAAGGATTGGCTAAGACAGTATAAATATTCATGCTGCTCATTTGCCTTACTCCACACTAGATCAGAGCCTCCCAGAGAGTTCTGAGTGCAGGGAGAGAGCAATCAAACCTGCAACCTGTGAGACACACAACAGACCTTACTAATTACATGCAGCTGCACTGCTTACAGTGAGCTAGAACTAAATTGGCCTAACCCAGAAAATGCAGCCACACTGGTTACAGTGAGACAAACTAAATTTACCTAAGCTAGCACCTATCTAGGAGGGTGCTACACATGCTATAATAGGAAAAGAGCCACGCCACATAGTGGCAGGCAAGTTAACTGCACCTGTCAACAGGTTTGTCTGAAGCTTTAACCACTTGCCCTTGAGAGGATTTACCCCCTTCCTGACCAGGCCATTTTTTGCGTTATGGCGCTGCGTTATTCCCACGGATTGAACTTTCTTTAGGTGGTATTTGATTGCCTGTGCTTTTTTTATTATTTGTGCTATAAGCAAAAAAATACCAACAATTTTGAGAAAAAAAACAATATTTTGGCCTTTTTGCTATTAACCTCCCTAGCGGTCTGATTATGTCAGTATTTCTGTGCTCAAAGGGTGGGGCTGCAACGTCACTCGGAGAAAGCCGGATTGTCTGACAGACGGTGGGTGCATGACTCAACGGTCGGCGGAGGATTCGTTACACACAAATTGCCTTATATTGAAAGCAGCAAATGTGAGTGTACTACTTGGAAGCAATAAACCAGTATTTTAAAAGGATAAAACACTATGTCTGGTAATTTTTCCCTATATGTGGAGAGACGCATGGAGAGGAGAGTATAAGGGGATTGTATCATCGTGAGGAGTGATTAATCCCAGAGGGGATAATCAGTGATAAAGGATATCCTTATTTCACAATCTAAGAGAGAAATCTTAACCAAGCAGGTTCCATAGGAGGTGAACCAAAAGCGCATATAGCCTAATTGTAGGCAGATAAGGAGGTGAGCTTACATCTGCACTAATTAGAGGATTCACAAAGAGTCACGGATTCACAAAGAGTCACGGATTCACAAAGAGTCACGGATTCACACAGTCACGGATTGAAGATTAAATAAAGCACAGAGTCACTATTTTTATGATTAATGGGACATTGTTTTTGCACCATATTAAATAATTAGATATGTGTATTTATATATTTTTTTGACATTTTTTCTTTTTTCACTAATTATGGTGTATTATTGGTTCAATTATTAATTTTATAATCACGCATATGCATTATTATTATGAATTATTGAGGTTTCTATTAGGAATTTTTTATTAAGAATTCTTTACATTAAGTGAGTATTATATATGGATTTTTGATTAATGGTATGCACATGTGCCTTTATATATTTTTGTGAATTAGATTATTTGATCGTACATGATTATTAATTTTGGGTGTAAATAAGGGATAAGAAGTATTGAAGAGATATTAATTAACAGGAGTGCAACAGAATATGGTCAAAGCGGTACATTTGTTTGCTTGGAAATATGTTTTTTTTATATTGTAGCCCTGTAATTCTTAGGAATAACTAACTGAAATCTGTCCAAACAAGAGTCTAGTAAACACACTGGGTATGTTAAAGTTTGAAACACGAAATTATAAATTATAATATAATAAATAATCATAAAAAATAATAAATTGAATTCAATAATGTAATCAAACCAAAAACCCTGAAATTTGAAATCAAGCGCCAAGTTCGCATATCGCTGAGCTCAGTCACAGAATCGTTTTCAGTGTCTGATGACGAATTTCCCCACGAATCATTATCACTCAATTCTGCAAGTGGTTCTAATTTACTATCGCTGTTTTCTAGCTGGTCTAAAACCACGTTTGACCTAAAGGGATGCTTTTTGGACGCCATGGACGTTTCTCAGTTTCCAGGCAGAAAGAACGGTAAAAATGCAGGCAGGGTACAGGGCAAAGCACTAGGGACAAAATGTATGTGAAATGGTTTGATACAGTAATGTAATACGATCAGATTTTAGTGTATTGAGTGAATGTCACATTTTTAAACTTTTTAATTTCCCACCGGTTCCATCCCCCGTATGTCCCGATGCTCGCAGGGAACGGAACCTGGAATCGGCCGGAGGAGATGGCCGGGGACGCTGCAGGGGGGACATCGCGGAAGCACAGGACAAGGTAAGTGCTGGAGGGATCCCTGAGCAACGCTGCAGAGCATTCCCAAGTGTAGCTCAAGATTACCGCTTCTGGTACTGAGCTACACTCGGGAATACCGCCAGGGGGGTTAAACATGTCCAGTAAAAAAAATGTAAAAAATCAAATTTCGTCATAAACTTAGGCTAAAATGTATTCTGCTACATGTCTTTGATAAAAAAAAATCCCAATAAGTGTAAATTAATTGGTTTACATGAAAGTTATAGCGTTTACAAATGGCGGTATAGATACTGGGATTTTTTTTCCCTACTAGTAATGGCGGTGATCAGCGACTTTTAGCTGGACTGCGGCAGGCATTCTGACACTGGGGGGGAACTAACTTGGTGTCACTGACATCCCCAGTGACACCAATACAGTGATCAGTGCTAAAAAAAACAGCACTGACACTGTACTAATGACACTGGGCAGGAAGGGGTTAATGTGAGGGGCGATCAAAGGGTTAACTGTGTGTAGGGAGTATTTTACTAGGGGACAGGGGGGGGTGTGCTTCACTGCAAGCACACTGATCGGGATGGCTGTGCTGTGCACAGCCATCCCGAGCAGTGTGCCTGAACTGACAGATAGGAAAACTGTTTGTAAACAAAACAGTCTTCCTCCCCATCAGTGATTGTTGGTAATCACTGGGTGCTGGTGGGTAATCAACGGCTGGGACCCGGTGATTGAGATCCACAAGCGTAAATGGTGTCACGGGTAGGGCGTGTGAGCCCCTCCACCCGGAAATGAAAATCACGTGTATATATACGTGATTTTGCTCACCCATGCTGCCGTGTAGCAGTATATCTATTATACAGTGGCGGGGAATCGGTTAAAGTATAACTATAGGCAAAATCTTTTTTTCTTGTTTTAGATAAAGTGGAGAGGGATTAGAACACCTGCCAGTTTGTATTGCTGTTTGATTCACCCTCTCTATTTGTCCTGTTTACCGTTATCATTGAAAGTGAAAGTAAAAGAATATCCCAAATTTTAGGTTGTCCCCAGAAATATAGTAGTAGAGGCTAAATCTTCCAATGAGGATACTAGCTCTGGCAGGGGCGGACTGACAACTCATGGGGCCCCCGGGCAACAGGGAATCATGGGGCCCCTGTGTCCTTGCCCAAACTCAAAAAAGCCTATGAAAAAGGTACCAGGGGCATCTCATGGGGCCCCCTACTGACCCCGGGCCCTCGGGCAGTGCCCGAGTTTCCAAATGGTCAGTGCGCCCCTGAGCTCTGGTGACCTGGAGGTCCCCAAGGAATGCCCTATATTTGCAGGGATTTCCTGTCAATTCTTCTTTGGCTTTGGGCAGGAAGTGAAGGTAAATTTCCCCAATGGGACAAAGATGGCAAAAATAAACCTTACAGGGGTTATAAGCCTTCCTTACTCTATCCAAAATGAAAAAAAAAGTTTTGCCCATAGTTCTAATTTAAATCTGAACATCTTAATATCTAAATAGTCAAGTGAGTCACAAATCTTGAATTGTGATTAGTGATCTCAGCGCTCATTTATGTACTTCTGCAGATCAAACATGACTATTCAATTACACATAAATATAAAGTGACCCATATTATTAATACCTCTCCCATACCCCAATATTTACTAAACATTTTTGTACACTAATTTTTTTTATGGTTGAACTAGATGGACTTTTGTCTATTTTTAGACAGACCATGTAACTATGTAACTAACTGAATATTTCTTTGCAAGCAAACTCTTGCAGTAATGACTGTTTATTGCAAAGTATGGGAATTATGAGTTATTAAATTAGAACTAGAGTCTGAGATTGTGATAAGTACATCTGAATCAAGAGACGGGAGGGGAGGTTCGTGGAGCCCACTAAGTATGCTGGCACTGTTGAAGCCAGCTTTGACTACTTATCCCCTGCTGACAGCACATCCTTATTAGACCATTGGACTTTTTTAGTATCATGATGCTAAAATTTGATCCTGACTGAGTAAAGTGATCCTTTTTCAAACTATTCACTTCAGTGTAAATTTGCAGAAAGCATTAGCATCTCATTGGTGGATTTAATTTGCGGCTTGCCAATTAACCTCCTCTATGCTCAGTGTATAATTCATATGCCCTCTTCAAGCTAATTTTCTTCTCTTTTCTGAATATTTAACTATTTATACACGTGTCATCTAGTTGAAAAATACAAGCCTACATGAAAACTGTCATAGCCAATTAGCGTTGTGTGAGTGGGAAGTAACAAGTCCTTGCTTTATTTTGGGAATAGATTTGATTGACGCTCAAAGAACAATTACCCAAAACAATAATTACAGAACATAGGTAAGCTGTACATTTTAAAATGTCTATGTGCATGAATTTTCTGTAATTAATCCATCTTTTCTTTTCTTTGTGAACGGTTCTTGAAAAGTTTTACATAATATCACATTTAATTTTTTTTTTTTCTCTCAATTTGCTGAAATAGGCTGTTGCCATTAATTATAAGGCTCTAGCTGATGGTTCTGTATACTTAGCAATCTCAGTGGCTATGAAAGGCTTTTAATAAGTATACAGAACTACCAGATGCCAGTTAAGCTTATAGAACAATATTGCTAATTACCCCTTAGGGTCCCTCTAATTTTATCTGTCCAGTTCACACTTTGCTTAGCAATATCAAGCCCTGATGAAGGGGGACCCTTTGGAATGCCAAAATATGTTGGCTTTTTGTAATATGAGTTTTGGTAAATTGCCATTTACGTCCTGCAGCCTGGCTGAAAAACTCCCAGAGATGAAGTCTCCCTATCCTGCCTTGTTACTAGAATGTTGCTAAGATACTCCCAGATTTCCCCAATGTCATTGGTGAGCACTCTCAAACCCTTACAAATGCACAGTCTACTATCTCTTCCATCACAGCTGCTGCAATGGGCGAGAGAGTGCACACATGGGTGCAGTTCTCACCTCTGATAATGGGGCCAGCAACACAGCTAGGAGCACCCTAACAATGTCCTAGCAACATGGCAGGATTCAGGGACTCCATCCCTGCCAGGCTTCAGAAGGTATGTAAATGGCCTGCACCTATATCGAGGGCATTATTCTGTTTTGGTCAAAGCTGTACAGTTTGTTTTTTTATATACAGGCCCTCTTTACCTGCACAGGCAGCTTTTTGGTAAAGGTGAAATAAACCTTTAAGATGAAGGTTATATTTTCCATGCCTATTCATTCTTGTGGTGCATTCCTTTTTTTTGTCTCCAGAGAACATATTTTGTTTGATATCATAAGCCTCAACTTCTTCATATATAATTAAGACTTTAAAGAGACGTATGGCCAAAAGCTTTTTTGGCCATACTTCTCTTGTGGGTCACAGGAGTTCATTAACTTTTGCACTCCTGTGATCCAAGTTGGCTGAGCGTGGGCTATAGGCCACTATCAGCTGGCATGGCAGAGCAGCTCCAGATTTGTGTAAGGATCCTGACAGTATTGTGAGGATCCACCCAGCTCCCTGACTGACAGCTGGCCCACCTCTCAGTGCAAGTATGACAGCCGGAGCTAGCTGTGCCCATCCCCTCCCCAGCTCGGCGCTCCAGTGCACGCTGGGGCGGCAGAGCGGAGAGCAGTGACTGACAGTCACTGCTCTCCTCTCTGAGCAGATTGAGAACTGGGTGATCAGTGCTCATGTGATCGCTCAGTTCTCAGGCTTAGAAATGATTTAGACCAGCTGCAGCATCAGACTGATGCTGCAGCATAGAGGTGAGTATGAGTGCTTTTATATACAAGAAACTTCTTTAAAATTAAAAACAGTTGCTTATCTATTTATCAAGATAACTGGATGTCTACCATAAATATGCATGATGTAACATCTCTACACCCCAAAACGGGGTGGCTTCCTAAGAAAAACAGGATGCTTGAATAGTATAGAAAAATTAATCATCAAAATTACTTCTGTTAAGATCTTATATTATCTATTATCTTATGTTCTCAGAAATATGAAAGATTCATTATAGGCTCCTTTGAGAATATTCTGACCAGCCCTCTCAGAAGGATGCATAAAGTAAAAGTTTATTTATTAGAAATATGATTGCAGCATAATACAGATGTAAAATGTAACATGTTCTAAAAGGTGAACCAAATGTTGAAATGAACAGGTATTGCTTCCCCTATGTACATATACAGTATAATTACTTGTTTTTTGCCCAGAGATGGGCTTTAAAGTATAAGTAAAGGTAAAGCTTTTTTAGATTTGGAAAAAAGCAGTAAGGGGTAAGTATAATTTTTTTAGTTTTTGTTTTGTTTTTTTTGCCGTATGTGTCCCAGTTAGGGAAATTCACTCTTTATAATTGCCCTGATTACTAATTATATAGAAAATAATAGTGAGAGTAAATCTAAACTTTGAGAGTCAACCAGAAGATCAGCTTACTTTCTGTCACATCAGCATGTTCAGGACTACCTAACTTGTATGACCATCTAATAGGACTAGAATATGGATAACGCCCATATTCCTATAGTTATGATCATATAGATTCTAAAGAAAATAGCTAAAGTGAAAAAAATAATAGCAAAAATTCTATTTTTGCCAAGGAAGACCTGGTTCACAAAACTGTTTTTGTAGGACGCTCCCGCGAATGCCTTGTTTATGGTGACCAATACCACTGTCAAATTGCATGGCTTATTTTGCCAGGAGCCATTACAAAATTAGTAGCCAGTTAACTAAATCTTACTCCTGTAGCGCTATCCTCTTGAGGGTCACTGAGTTTTTGGGTCCCCCTAGGCTCTGCTCAGCCAGGCAACATGCATTTTCCACACTTTCCTCCAAAGTCAGTAAACAGCCCATGAGCTTATTTTTTGTTGTTTTATTAAGGGTTAACAACTTGGACGGGGTCTAGGGGTATATGGGATGCCGAATGGAACTGTACAACTTCGGAGGATAAACTTCTTAGGCAAAATGGCAAGAATCCAGCAAACAGCACAGAAATGACAAATCAGCACACAGACATTGAAAAGGAGCTTGGTTCCCCTAAAATAAGATGAAAATCTCCTCATCCACCTGGCTGTCTTGAGAGTATCCCAGGGCAAGGGATTCAGAGACATACAAAGAATGTAGTCCCAGGAAGAACTAGTATTGCACCTGACCGCCCTCTCCCTTTTTTGGTCCAGGGGGATGTAGAAGTACTCACACTGTTCTGTTCTTGTAGCTTTAAAGGTTGAAGCTGCTTTAAGGCCTTACTCTGAGCTGGCTCCTTCACTGCTGACAGGCTGTCTTTCCCCAGTAGACTGTGGGACAGTGGAAGTCCTTCTGTCCAGCTTCAGCCTGTAGGCAGGCCCCCCTTCTCTGGGACTCCCTCCCAGGCTCCACACCAACAACAATTCCTCACTCCATCTTCCACCCGACTCCCCTGCTGACCAGGCTCTCTCATATTTAAGGGCTGACCTAGCCACCATGCCAGGCCTCCTGCCTGGGGATTGGCCAGATTCTCCTAAGTATGCAGATCAGCCCCCCTTACCCCCACCCACTGCTTCTAGAAACTTCTCCAAGTTTCTAGAGCAGGGGGAGGTATCAGAGAACTGACCTGCAGAGCCCTCCAGCTTAGCCTAAAGTAACCTCACTGACTCACTCCTTCTAGCAAGCCTCTGACTGTACAAAAAAACCTGTACACTAGAGGGCATTACAATCCCAAATTTCATTCATCCCACAGTGCTGATGCATTCTAGAATGCATAGGTTCACATGGTAAGGGAGATAGCATGGTTTTCTGTGGAGGTCGTTCACACTTATGTGTTCCAAACACAGTGCTATTTCCGAAAGGGTCCTGTGTGTGTTTGGTGCAATGCAGTGAGTTTTTCAGCACCATAGACTTGAATGGAAACAGTAGTGAAAACACATAGGTGTTCAAATGCAATTTCAGTGTAAGATACACCTATTTCTAATGTCATAAAATTAGCCCGATCAGAAATTGCAGCTGTGTAAAATCACATCAGAATCACACCACAACTGCTCCGGAAATCACACTTGAGAATGCATAGAAAGCACACCGCATCAGTGTGAACCAGGGCTAACTGTTTATATTATGCAGAAAATATTTTTGATTTCTTTTATCCCCAATCACCAAACTCCAGATCTTGTTAGGTGGTATACCATGGGTGTCAAATAATGCAATATACAGTAGACAGTGGCGTCCCTAGGGTTGGTGTCACCCGGTGCGGTAGCACTTGGTGTCACCCCTCCGATGATCCCTGCAGGATGGATCGGATATGCGGATTGAGCATAATGGATCGGAGTCCGATCCATTATG